GTCATCACATCTCAGATAGGTGCAAGCCTGAGCCTTAGAACCAGGCTGCAGACATTGTGCCTTCCAACCCCCAACCAACACAGAATGTCATATCACACACACACACACACACACACACACACACACACACACACACACACACACACGGGCCAAGCCAGTTTCCTGAAACAGTTAATCCCTGCCTTTGTACTGCAGCTCCTTTCTCCTAGACCAGTTACTTTCTTATATGGCAGCTTCTGCCAGCTCAAGCCATAATGCCTTACAAATGACCCATTTGGAGTTAAGTAAATACAATATTTTGTAAAACCTTGGAGCACATTTTCAAGATGTCTTGATTTTGTATTTTCACACACTGCAATCCAAATTAGGTGCAAATGAATTTAATTTTCTCTGTGAGTAGGTTGACTCTGCTCACATTCAACAGTCAGAACACCAGATTCGGAGACTAGGTGTGAAGTGGGATCACTCTTGGAGTTGAACCCTATCTCTACATGGAGAGCATCAGGATTGAGCCAGATTCAAGGACACCAGCTGGTGTCCACTGCAGAATGAATTATGCTGCTTTGGGGGAGAAAACCAATGCCTTTTAATGTCACAGAAGTCTTCCATTTTGGTTGCTGGGCAGAAGGGTATGGAAAGGCAGTTGTTTTTACCACAGAATCCAAAAGTGCAAACAGAATTCTATCAGACAAAGATAAGAGAAGCTCGTTGGTGGACACACTAAACGGCAGAGGTGGGATAGTGGTAGCATCTGTACAGAGCCTGAGACTTCCACAGCCATGGAGAGAGAATGTCACAAAGGATGGGGTTGTCCAGGAGAGGGAGCAGACTCCTTCACTCTTCTTAAATGTCTCAGTGAAATGTCCATCCATCTTCCTAGAGCCTCTTTTCCCTTTCTGTCTGCCTGCAGGAGACCCGTCTGATTCCTGGTCCCTTGTTGCCTTTGAGAGGATTTAGGACTTCTTGGGGGAAGTCCGAGAAACCAGTACAGATTTATTACTGGGGAGGGGCCAAATCCCACACTACTTAATAAAAAACGTCATTTGCAATTGTTTAGAATGACCTCCCCAATGGGATCTTCAGTGTCAGAATGGCCTCACATTTAAACAACCCCTATAAGACTCCAGCTTGACAAATTCTATAGAAATAATGGAAGTGTATATAAGTCATAAAGGGGTATAATAAAGTCCAAACTTCCCTGTGTTCTTCTTTTTCCCCATACTTCATGACTATTTCCTCTGTTCCCAAAATCTTCCAAATCTCCTTCCTATTCCATCACAGCCCATTTTCAGCTTTCTGAGGTTGTCCACATGTCTGTGCTTGAGAGCCTAGAACCCTTTTTCCTTGCAAAGTTTGGGGCAGGCTGCCATTATGTTCCTTCCTACTACTATGATGATGGACATAAGAACTGGTTTCAGAGGGCAGGAGGAAAGGCTATGGAAACACACACATTTAATTCTTACCCAAGTCACACAGAGGCAGGCTTGGGAGACAATCTGGAAGGTCACTGTAACACAAGGCCTTCGATCCAGGTGGTGAGAAAGACAATAAAATGAAACAACAGATTCTAGGCATTTGAGGCACTAGCTGAACTGAGCTGAAGAACGACAATGAAAAGCACTCATGATCAAAAGTTTATGAACGTGATCTCAAACATTGTTGAATGGCTAATCCATTCGTGGATGGCAGATCTAGTATGGGGAGGAAGAGAATACCACAGGTGGCTAATTAGCTGTGTTCTTGGGAGCCTAATAGCCCCTCCCCCTTGCTCATACAACAACAATTCTAGGGAGGAAATCCTGGCTGGAAACTCTTATCCCAGGCTTTGGATTTACTGTCTCTTCTGGCCAGGAATGGCCCTCCTACTTCCAGCCTTGCCTCTGACTTAGGGAAACTGGCCAACTTACTGAAAAGGAATGATATACAACTCCATGTTGTGATACTGTGAAATGCATAGTTGCCCTTACTGGTATAAATCATAAACCCCTTGAAATCTGGGAAATGATAGTGGGTAAGATTGGCTGAGGGCTGGCAGTTTCTGAATAGCTTCAGGGTGGGTCTGATGGGTTAGTTGATCACCACTGCCAAGTGATTCAATCTTATCTATATAATGAACCCTCCACAAAAACTCAAAAGCACTGAGTTCAGAGTTTCTGGATAGCTGAACATACAAATTCAAGGAGTTGGGGGTAGGGTGGGGTGGGATGTTTGCTCAAACATGCTCTTCCTCTATACCTCATCCCACACATCTCTTCAACAGTATCCTTTGTATTACCATTTATGAACCACTCCAGCAAATTAGTGCAAATCCAAGGAGAGTGTCAGAAACCTAAATCTTAGCTAGAGGTGCAGAAAACACAGGTACAACCACCAAGGGACTGCATTTGACACTGAAGACAGTTCTCAACTTGTGGGGTCTGAGGCCCATCTTCAGGGGATAGTAAATGCCAGTACTAAGGTAAATTAGAACCCCAGCTGGTGTTTAAGGCAGAACTGCTCCTGTGGTATGCAGGGGAATCTCCCACAGTGCAGTGCAGGGATGAGCTACGTAGTCATGGAACAGAAGGAGAAACTGGGTCTGAGTTAGATTTTTCTACTTCCAAGTACAGCAAGGATTCCAGAACTTAAGCCTGAAACCGTGGGGTTGGAGGGAGGAGAAGGAAGAAGGAAAAACGAGATGTGGAGCACAAGGACCATCTGCTACCCTCACGTGACAGCCTAGCAGGAGTTCCCGGGGAAGCTAAACCAGCCCTGGGCGTGGGCCTTTCTTTTACAGATTCACCTTCAAAAACCAAAGGGGCAATTCCAGGCTCCTTTACAGGGATGACAGTCCTTGGCCTCTAGGACCTGGGAGATGTTTCCTCCTGGATGAGTTATGACCCCTGATGCTTCTGTAAGAACATCCAGATAGGAACTTGTCTTCTCTGTACTAATGTCCTTATTTCTCCCTGATCCATGTCAAGAGTTCCATTCACAAACAGCCTCAAATGTAACCACCCACCCTTTCTTTCCCTGTGTAAACAAAATGCAGTAATCAAAATACTAGGCTGCATCAAACAGCTGTAGAAAGCAATGGATTTTGAGGGTAAGCCATAGCTCTTTTTTTCCCCAGCTACGTTATTTTTAAGTCTTCTCTGTCATTTGGGAAAGGGAGTACTTCGGGTTAAGCACAGAGCCTCACATATGCTAGGAAAATGTTCTTTGTACCACTGAGCTGCATCCCCCAACTCCCTCCACTGTCTCTAACTAGAGAAAACTTGTTAAACTAAAATAAAATAGGTGAAGTTCATGTGTTGCCATAAATGATATGGCAGTTAGAGATTTTCTCACAATCTTATTATATCCCAAAGTAACACTGGATCCTGAGGCAAATATTTTCATTAGCAGTAATTTTTAAGTCAAAGTGTATAACTGATGCCATCACATCCTGGAATCCTCTCTCCTGTGGTGACCCCCACACACCCTCTTCTGGAGGACTGTCAGATAAACAGGCTTGGGCTGGACCTACACATTAGCTTCCCATGCTTTCCCATCACTTCCCTCTGCAGCTTTCCGACCTGGCTCACTCAGTTCGTCCATGTGCACTCTTCTCCTGCCTCCCTGAAATGTGCAGTAAGCACAGACACACCCAGCCTCCTCCGGTCAGCTCGCTACATGGTGTGTAGCACAGTAAGGTAAGTTCTTAGTAGAAGCTGTGTAGTGACTAAGTATACACTTGCACCACCACAACTGTTAAGATAGGTATGGTTCATCTGTTATCTCTGCACTTGGGAGGCTGAAGCAGGAAGATTTCTAAAACTCTAGACCAGCCTGAACTATGGAGTGAGTTCCAAGTGACATGAGGTGTACAGTGAGACGAGAGAGAGAGAGAGAGAGAGAGAGAGAGAGAGAGAGAGAGAGAGAGCAGAATACCCCCATATTTTCTTAAGAGTGAAGCCTATACTACTTATGGTGGTATGTGTCTATGACTCTAAGACTGAACCAGGAGGATGGGGAGTTCAAGGCTACAAAGTGAGATTTTGCTTCAGAAAAAAAAAGGGAAAAATGAAATGGATGAGGGGAGAAGAAAGGAAAGAAGGAAGGAGGGAGGGAGCAAGGGAGGGAAGGAGAGGGAGAGAGGGAAGGAAGGAAGGAGGGAGGGAGGGACTGTAGTGAAGGAGAGATCTTGCATGCAGGGCATTCCAAGCTATCCCAATGCTGTGTCCTCTCAGTAAGTTCAGGACAGGCCAGGGAGACAGGCCCTTTGCTCTGCCTTTACCTCACTCTGCGACAACAGGCTTAAGCAGAGACAGCCAAGTGGCTTCTCTCTCCCTCACCACCTTGTTTCCTGCCCTCACCTTGCACACTCCCGAGCAGCCCTACACCCCCTGCTCCCCAGTCTCTCTCCCTTTCCTTCGCATTCACACATCTCAGTGTGGGTGTCTCATGGGCCTCCGTCCTGACTTTTCCTACCTTCTTCCTAGGCATCTTAGGAGCAGGAATGTCCAGAGTAGCCATGGGCCCTTCTCACTGACCCAGGAATAATGCAATCCAACACCAGCCATGGGAGCTTATTGAAATTTGCATGCCAGTTACCCATTCCCTGGGGCCAACTTGAAAGGGAAAAAAGGGACATTCCAGAATACACAGGTGACTAAGGATGACCATGGTAGTTAAACTCAAGAAGACCTAGAGCCAAGGTTTTGACATGCACAGGTTGTCCATCATACTAGCAGGTGAGGCTGCAACCCAGGTCTTTCCACTGCTGAGTCAATTTGTATCCAAAAGACCTCCCGCAGTTAGAAAGGAGCCCATAAAGCTGATTTCTTTACCAGCTGGGTTTTGTTGTTGAAGAGGCAAACACAGTACGCCTGTTACTTCCTTCCCAGAGAAGATTCCCAGGAATCTACAGGTGTCCACCCTCTGCTGTGCTGAATTCAGCCTTCCCAACAGGAACTTGCCCAACTGCAAGAGCTGTGAGACACAGGAAAGGGCAGGTCTGGAGGGCTGGAAGGGCTTACCTGAGCTCCCGGAGGCTCTGGGAGCTTGCCGAGTCCCTGTTACTGGGAGGAAAAGCTGTGGCTTGAGCTCAGCGGGACGCGCCGCCCTGCGTCCCCGAGGCCGACCCTGGGTCCCCGGCGGGGACAAAGCCAGCACCAACAGCAGAAGCGCGGGCAGCCGGGCGCTGGGCTTAGCGGGCCGCATGGCCTTGGCAGGCTGGGCGGCACTGGGACTTGGAGGCGCGGTGGCGAGATCTATGCGCTCCCGGGCACGGGGCGGGAACCGGAGGCGGGGCTGCACTGGGCACCCGAGAACCCGGGACAAGGGAGGGTCAGGGCACAGGACCCTAGGAAGCACAAGCCACCTCCCTGGGACTATTTCCTTGCACCCAGGGTTTAGGGGCAGAGATGGCGCCAAGGCGGGATCCTCACGCCCTAGATTGTGGGTCTCTGGGTCATGAATTCCACTGACCACAGGTTTGAAAGAATTCACGACTTCTGCTTCTGGGCGCGAGAAAGCAAGGTGGAATTTCTGCTGGAGGAAACAAGGTGCAGAACTCTTTGGCTAGGAGCCCTGTTCTGCCCTAGGGCTGGCCAGGTAGGCACCCTAGCTGTTCCTGCTCAAGTACCAGAGTCCCCATCTGTCCAAGGAGGAGGATCTAGAGCTGGGATGCCCCAGGAGGTCCAAGGATTGGCACTCAGGACTACTATAAGCCAGGAGTCCCCACACCAGGGCACACTCGGGTCTTTCTGTGCAGATACCCACCTGGCTGAGATATTTAAGTTATGGGTCTCTCATCACAAAGTTATGGAGGTGTTATCATCTGTAATGGGAGGGAGTCCCGGTCCATTCCTTTAAAATGAGAGCTTTTCTGATAGAGCAGTACTATGTCAGTTAATGTTTGAGCTATTTCGTCTGCCTGTCTCATTACTTTGTGTTAAGTGTATATGTCGACATACACGTGGCTTGATTGGTAATTATCTTCTCACAATAAGGGCAATAGAAGGCTCTGTGGTTCCTTAGTCATTGACTGACATGGAATTTCTCTTCAAAAACCTAGTCTGTCTCAAACTGAAAAAAATAATCTCAATTTACTCATACAGTTGCCCTAAGCTGTTTTCAAACATTCACAGGAATTTGGGTGGAAAGCACAAAGCACTTTTCTCAGGGTTTTATAAAGTCGTGCCTTTGACGGTAAGTCTCTCAAGAAAGCTGTTACACAAACCCCTTGTTTCCTGAGCAGATCACAGAGTGTAGGGATGGCTTCCATTTCCCAGGCAGCCTTACCGAGTCCTTAAGAGACCTTAGAGGAAGAAATAAACTTTCTCACGTCTCAACTCAAGTGAAATAATGAAATGTGAAGAATTTCACGTTTAAACTTAATGAGAGATATTGGAAGCTGGGTATTACTCTGCAAAACAAGGCACTAAGAGCAGGGAGTGGGGCGCCAGAGTGTGAAGTGATGCCAGAGAAAACCAGAAGTGACAGACATGCACCTCCAGTCTCTGCGAGTGAAGACAGCTGATGGCTTTTTTCTCTTCTCCAGGACAAATTCAAGGGAAGGCAGCAAACCAAGGAACTTCACAGATCCTGGCTGTTGGCAGGGCTTATTGCTCAGGTTTGGGCAGTGTGAGTCAGAACAAGCCCCAAGTTTTCTCTGAACTCTATTGGCTTTCTATATCTCATGGAGAGAGGGCAGATTCCAGAGCTCCACATGGTGGCACAGGCCCGTGGTACCCTGCTGGAGGCTGACATGTCAGGATCCCTTGAGTTTGGGAGTTTGGGACCAGCCTGGGCAACATGGTTAAAAATCATCAGAAAACTGAAGGGTATTTTTAAAAGCAGACTTCCACTCTTCCTGGCATTCAGTTCTTCTGGAGGGACCAATGCATCCATATTTCAGGGTTGGCAGGACAGTTTTAAAGCAAACAGGCTTTCAGTTCAACAGAAATTACTTGAAGGCAAATCATAGGCCAGGCACAGAAGGAACCACTGCTGGAAATTAGACAAAAATCCTTGTCTCTGTGAAGCCTGAGCTTCATGGACTTAGCTGCACAGCATAATGGTCTTGTCTTGAATAAGCAGATTGCCCATAGTGAAGTAGCTATCTCTTTTGAGAATGTACTTTGTGACTTCTTGCTGTCCCCATGAGTGCTACTTGCTACCAATGCTGGTTTGTTCTGTGGCTTCCTGAAGTTTTGGTGTAGACATAATCTCACAAGAGTTGCCAACTTTCCATGTATGGTATTTCTCATATAAAGAAAGGGGTGTCTGTTTAGAAAAGGACACTAAGCAACTGTGATGGTTTGAACTAGAATGGCCCCAATAGGTTCATATGTTTGAATGTATGTTTGAATGTTTGTTCCCCAGTTAGGAAATGTGGCCTTGTTGGAGGGAGTGTGTCACTGGGGGTGGATTGGAGGTTTCAAAAGTCCACACCAGGTCCCTCTTCTCTCTCTCTCTCTCTCTCTCTCTCTCTCTCTCTCTCTCTCTCTCTCTCTCTCTCTCTCTCTCTCTCTCTCTCTCATTCTGCCTCTCTGCCTGCAATTTGTGGGCCATGTGAGCTATCAGTTGCTTCTCCAACCCCATTCCTGCTTGTTTCTGCTGAGCTCATGAATGAACCATCTGAAACTGCCAGCTAGCCCCAATTAAATGCTTTCCTTTGAAAGTTGCTTTGGTCATGGCGACTCCTCACAGTAATAGAACAGTCACCAAGATGATAGCTCATGTTTTAATAATTCTACATTCTTGTTTTGTAGTCAGGATCTCCCTGTGTAGTTCAGGATAGACTGGAACTCCATAAAGACTTGGGTGGCCCTGAAGTCAGGGAAATAACTTCAGTGTTAGCCTACTGAGTTCTGGAACTATAGAAGTGCCCCAAACGCACCCAGCTAAATAATTCAAACTTTGAAGTGTACATTTAGAAATATGTTTTTTTTTGTTTTTAAAGATTGATGGGCTATTTACTTATTTATTTATTTACTTATTTTTTATGTATACAGTGCTCTGTCTGCATGTATCACTGCAGGCCAGAAGAGGGCACCAAATCTCATTACAGATGGTTGTTAGCCATCATGCGATTGCTGGAAATCAAACTCAGGACCTCTGTAAGACCACCTAGTCTCCTTAGCCACTGAGTCATCACCCCAGTCACAAAAATATGTTTTTTGAAAGAATCAATGCTCAAAGTTTCTTTGTTTTTTGTCTACCACACTCACACTAAGTAATTCTACATCAGCAGCTTAGTGCTAGCATTATAAGTGTGTACCATAAAACCCAGCCATTTGTTTTCTTTTAAATTATCAAATAAATAAAACAAGTACATTCCTCTACATTTTTGGCACCAATGCTCTCTGGGCTGACACCCAGTTGGTACTACATGACAAAACACAACAAAGAGCCAAATCATTCAGAAATGCCAAGCCAATGGTGGCACCTCCCCTGGAAAATGCAGGATGAGATCTGTGAATTCAGTCAACATAATAATTGCATTTGCCCTCTGTGTGGTAAAATCAAAAAATCAAAATGGGAAAAAAAAGGCTGTGTCTCCTTCAGAGAAGGTGTCTGAACCACGTTCCTGTTGTGGTCAAGTGCTCATCAGAAGACTGATATGGAAGACAATAGAATCCCATGTAACAACTAAAACATACATAATATAGCACTGCACAAACTACATTCACCATTGCAAATGATGGTCACAAATTTAATACGTCAAAAGCAAAAATTTAAAAGAAAAAATAGAGGGAAAATAACGTTCCCTGGTAGCTACCAGCTACCAATATCGCTTCCCCTAATTTTGGCTAAATTTATCTTGTGCACTTCACAGGCAGACTGTTCTGAGTTCATGAGTGTGGTACCCATGTCAAGTCCAAAAGTTTGGATTTCACACCACTCTTCTCCATCATCTGACTCTTACATTCTTTCTACCTCTTCTGTGATATCCCCTGAGTTGTGATGACAGTGGGCAGTGAGCTTTGTTGAGAAGAAACTGAGCACTTAGTCTCTTTTTCTTGGCAAATTGACCAGAAGCTTCTCGGACTAAGGTTGAGAACAGCCCAGGTCTATCTATGCATATGGACACGTGTATTTAAAGGCAATTTGAAAGGAAAATCATTTAGAAAAACAACAAGTGGTTCTACATTTTGGCCTATGACATCCTGGGACAGTCATGTAAATTTGATTAGGATTATAGTACTAGGTAAGAAATTACTTCCTGTAGTGAAGGGCTCAGATCCAATCAGAGTATGGCTAATTGCTCCATAATGGTTGTACCACTATTGTACCAGTAGGTGCTTCTTGCCTGACAGGTTGGCTTGAAGCACACAGGGTCCAGTGACATATAAGACCATTGCTATCCCTTCTCCACAGCTGCCTGAAGAGCATCTTCTGGCACAATGGAAAAAAGACGATTGTGCTGGTTGGTTTTTCAACTCGATACAAGCTAGAGCCATCAGGGAAGATGGAAGTCATGTAATCAACTCTGTGGGTTATTTTCCTAATTAATGATTAATGTAGGAAGGCCCCGGGCCTATTGTGAGTAGTTCCCCACCTGGTCAAGCAGTCCTGGGTAGGATTAGGAAGACAGCTGAGCAAGCCTGTGAGCAGTGTCCCTCCATGGCTTCTGCTTCAGGACCTGCCTCCAGGTTCCTGTGTTGGCATTCCTTAATGGCCTGTGACTCAAGGGACGGAAACCAAATAAACCCGTTCTTCCCCAAGTTGCTTTGGTCATGGTCTTTATCACAGCAAGAAAGCAAACTAGAACAACAGTGTCTTAGTTTCTTAGTCTAGCTAAAATTTTAAAAATGTCATCATCTCTCTGTATCTTCCAGCGTCAGTTTTCTGAACAACATGAGTGGGGCAGTCCTGTATGGTGATGTATTATTTATGATTTATTAAAGCTTTCCCAAAGATCAGAAAAGCAAAGCAGCAGACCACTAGCTCTTACCTCTACCTCAGACTGAAAGGTCATCCAAACCTCAGACTGTAATCCCAGACTGCTATGCTCTCCTCAGTGTGGCTGGAGAATACTTAGACTGAATGCCAGCACTGAGACCTTGCTCCCATCTTATATACCTCCCTAATGCTGGGATTAAAAGTATGTGATCCCAGGTGCTGAGATCAAAGGTGTGTGTGAGCTGTGTTACTCTTCACTCTTATGTAGACCATGGTGGCCTTGAACAACAGATTTATCTACTTCTTAATCC